AGTTACTTTTTTTTCCAATTTATTGACTGACAGCTCTCCTGTCCCCATGTTGAGAGAAATCAGATGTTACTGTAGTTCTAAAATAAATATGAATATGCATTAATTCATCTCACTAACAAAAAAAAAAAAACTGATTCAGTATTCCTCAAAATGAATAAAAGTAATGCAACTCAGAATATGACGCAAACCTGCAATAATTAAATGTTAAACAACACAAATATCCTTTATGTATTTAATCCCATTCTATTTGCTTCTGAGCTTCGATGATCCAGTTCAAGCGTACTAATAAGCACAAATTACTCTAGACAAACATTTGTGTCTTTGCTTATTGTTGAAGTGTGTTGATATTTCTTCTGCATTCTACTGTACTTTCCCTTCAGCCTGAGGCTCATTCATTTCACTTTTGGTGTGAAAAGGCTTTTATATTTGCCAAAAATAGAACTTTTTTATTTTAAAAACAAACAAGCAAGCCCTGTCCAGATTTAAAAAGTAAAGTAACGCATTACTTTCCATAAAAAGTAACTAAGTAACGTAATTACCGTATTGGCCCGAATATAAGACGACCCCCTTTTTCCAGATGTACCTTTAAGAAAAAGGCTTTTTAAAAAGCAAATCTTGTTTTTTCTCAGTAAAACACATTTTGTCTTCAATTATTTTCATATTGCATATTTTTCCTATTTAAATTTTTGTTTTGAAAGTATGGTAAAAACTGGTCAAATGTACCAACAATCACATTTAAAAAATATACACTTTTTGATGTACCATTAAAAAAATTCCATCTGAATTAGGACATTTAGGCTATCCATCTAATAGTAGCCTACCAAAATCTTATTAACAGTAGAAGTTAAATCTTACTGTAGTCTTCAAATCTGGGTACTGTCTTACGTTTTAAAATCACAAAGAGAGTTTGGTCGCATCAGGCTAACGTGACCGTCACGACTCATGCAGCTGTAAGCTTTTCTTTCTCTTTAGCTTTTACTCGCGATCTTTACAACACACGTTACATTACGTATTTCACGGCACACTCGTTTTATGGGTATTTGGCGCCACCTATTGTTGTGTGTGTATTATTGACATGTCAAAGTCTAGACCCTGAATATAAGACGACCGCGTTTTGTCAGACGCATTTCCAAGAAAAAAACATTGTCTTATATTCGGGTCAATACGGTAGTTACTTTTTTATGGAGTAACGCAATATTGTAATGCATTACTTTTAAAAGTAACTTTCCCCAACACTGGTCAGAACTGTGGATGGTAACTTGTAGTGGTCCAACTTGACTGACCGTTAGAGCAGTTGTTGACATACTGTCCCACGGCGAGAGGGTTCACAGGGTCAGAGGTCAGCCAGGAGCAGTCACTCAGACAGAAGGGGCCAAATCGGTCCCGTCCGCTACACGATCTGTTCATCAGTCAAGACGTTAGATTTGTGTCTGAATGCTCTGCACTCATAATGCGCTGTGAGTGCTGCCGCTCACTCACCGGTACACTATCTTAGAGATCGCTCTGTCGTTGCCATCGATCAAAACGCCGTCGATGCATCGGAATACAAACGGATTTCTGATCGACTGGAAGAAGATGGGCTCATCCGCCTGATAGATGGTTCCTGTGAAAGAAGAACATCACAACAGCGTTCTTATGATGAATCAGAAGAGTATAAACCAACATTAATATTTATGACAGACAGAAGTCAATTAAAAGAGTAAATTACATTTAGATATTAATAACTGAGGAAGACTACAGGACAGTGCTATTAGCCTCACCTTTAATAGCACGAAACTGCATGAGATGTACATACAATTCATAATAATTATGTGAAACGAGCTAAATAAATGTACTATTTATCACCAATGTATATTTTTAAAACTGTAATATGAAACAAATTTAATAATAATATTATAATATTATTATTATTAATACTACTAATAATAATTATTATTATGTATTTTTATATATTATTTAATAATAATTATTATTATATTATACTATACTATTATAATACATATACATCGTTTATTTCTGGGGTTTTTTCTGACATTTTGGTGTTTATATCTGATATCTTTTAGATAAGTTGCACAGATTAAATACAGCTGGATAAAAGAGAAACTGTCCGTCTTCATTTCAGGTTCCAAAGCAACAAACTGTGATTATTTTAAAGGAGGGTGATTCTTTTCTATACCCACTGTATTATTATTATTATTATTAATAATAATTATTATTTATAATGTAATATATAAAAATAATACTGTTAATATATTATTATTATATATTAAAACTTAACAATAATAAAATATTATTATTGTTATATTATTATTAAATATTGTTGTTTATATTAATAAGTATTATTATCATTGGTAATATTAATTAATTATAAATAAAAATAATTATAAATAGTATAAATAATTAATTCGCATCTACTAAAGAAATTTACTATTTGTCAGCAATAGTGTTTAAAACTGTAATAATATGAATTATATATATATATATAAAAAATATTACTACTACTAAGTAAATAAATTATTACTAGTAGTATCATTAATAATAATTATTTATAATAATATAAAAAATGTTTTATAATATTTATATATGGTTTAATAATATTAGTCATTATCGTCATTATTAAGAATGCATTAAATAATATTTAAATATTCTTATGTATTATTTATTATTGTTAAGTTACAGTGACACACGACGTCATAAAGTATAACTGAATACATTGTTTAATCACAAGCATGAAATTGCATTAGAGATGTACGCAAAAAATTCCTACAAATGATTTTTTTTAGGAATCATGCATTAATCACTACTAAAAACAAATAACTATTTAAAAAAAAAAAACCCCAGTAATAACATTAATCGTATATATAATTAAATATATTTTTTTATTTTATTCATATATTTTTAGGATTACTGAACAACTACTGTCGTGTGATTTGTAATATTTGTATTTGTTATTTATTTTAATTTTAGTTAAATTAAGTCTGAATTTATTATGTCTGTATAGGTCTTTTATTAAGTTTGATTGAATTTTAATACTTCAACAAACTACATGCACATGAAATAATATATATACTGAATTTATAAATGCGTATCAAATCATTATTATATTCTCAAACCTGTTGTTCTTTAATATTTTGAATTGTTTTTAGCTTTATTTTTTTGTTTTTCATCTAAATGTTCAGTTTTGAAATGTTGTTGTATGCATTTGTCATTTTTATTTAATTTCTTAATTTTTTCAATGTGTATAGGTAGCATTTATAAAGTTTTAGCTTTTAGTTTTGGATCTGTTTTTAGCTTCTGTTGTCCTCATTTGTAAGTGGCTAATAAATGACTAAATAATTAATATTACTATTAATAATAGTTATACAAGTAATGTTAGTATTGTTCAAATAAGTGTTTGAAATGATTATTTATTTATATAAGATGACTGAAGTGTTACACCTGGATACATTGCTACAATACTTCCTTCCGGCACGTGTCCCTGCGTAACAAACACGCCGCTTCCCGCCAACTGCAGAGAGCTGCGCTTCCGCTCGAGCCGGAAGCCCAGAGCGTTCAGTGCGAGTGCGCAGGGAGCATCGCGTGCTCCATTCTGAACATTAGTGTACTTGTCGCGTTTCGACTGAGAGAGGAACCGGAGCAGCTCGCTTTGATCCTTCAGATCGTTTTTCAGGAGTTCAGTGAATAAACACACGAGAGATCCGAACACCTTCTCATCCTCGACTAACTTATCTCGCGCCGGATCCTTCACCTGACGAAGAGTTCTGGGGAAACAACAACACTGCACTCAGTCAATCTGAGCATTGCTATGTTTGCCGGAGCACAAACCGAACTATACCTCTCATTTTTCTGCAGATTTAACGCTATCCAGGGGACAAATCTGTGCCTGTAGGATTTCCACGCTTTAAAAAGAGCTTTAAACATAATATTCGTTTACATCAGAGCTGCATGTGCAAGTCAAACAACTTGAACTCTCGCCTTCCTGCACTAGTGATTCGCGAATGAGAATCGTATTGAGGATTCGGTCGAACCGATTCGATTGAATCACTCGACTCTTAGCGAAAACACTTTTCATTTTCAATCAGATGTATTCGGAAATATGGTGGTTAAACGGTGGTATGTAACTACTTGTTTGTTCAGGTGCACAAATAAGACGTTAAATTTGGCGCGGGGCTTCTGTGAACCTGTTCAATGAAGTGAACCGATTCGCTGAACGTGAATCAGAGAACCTGTTCAATGAAGTGAACCGATTCTCTGAAAGTGAATCAGACGCTATTTTACATTACCGCCACCCTGCGTCTGGGAGACTTTCATCATTTGCTTTCATAATTTGGAGGAAATTGTATTACTCTATCTTATTATTATTTGCTTTGTTTTCTGTGCTCTACTATAGAATGCTTAATCAATATGCTTGAGTTTTTGATGAGCTGAGAGATAACAGGACATCTATTTAATGTGTGTATGGTCCTGTGGCTCAGTGGTAGAGCATTGCATTAGCAGCACATAAGGCCGAGGGTTCGATTCCTGAATGCATTGTAAGTCGCTTTGGATATAAGCGTCTGCTAAATGCATTAAATATTATGTGCAAGACACGTGTGAGATGAGAAATGCTATTTTATACATAGCTTCTATGACAATAATTTGCATTAAATACTTAGAAACACATGTAGGGGACATCGTTGGATATCTTAAATGGACACATATCTTGAGTGTGCATTATGATTGGATGAATGTCGCACTCTGCAGCAAACCTGTAAGACTGTTGACCTTTCATGCAACAAATAAAGATTCAAAAGACTTTCTGCCTCTTGCCGTTTTGAAATAGAAAATTGCCGCAACACATAATAAAAATAATTTCGACATGCTTTAGATTTGAACATTGTTCTCTCTGGATCGCTGTTATCTTCTCTGACTGATACAACTAGTCCGAGAGGGCAAACTCCAATTCCTATCCTTTTATAAATTAATAATTAACAAAAATATAATATATAGTAGAATAGTATTATATCCTCCTGGGACCCAGGCAGACTTTTGTCCTCTTTAGAGGACATTATATTTTAGTGAATTTCTAGTGAAATATTTCATATTTTAGCGAAAGCCCTTCATTCAGGGCTTTTTAGAGATCATAAGCATCATCATAGAGATCATCATAAACCTCCTTGGTCTTTAAATATGACTGATATTGACAGAATGACCAAATGTAGCACTCTTAGGGTAATTATCATTTAAATCTGGCTATTTTTCAAATTGTCCTAAATAAACACCTCAGAAAAATGTGATGGGGTTTCAAAGCGCAATATGACTTTTTGTTGCAAAATGGCATAATTTGCATGCATGTCTACTGAAGAGGACACCATGTTAATCACAAGTTAATAGGGAAAGAAATTATAGATCAATATTCATGAAATATGAGATATTCTTATGAAAATGTTGCCAAGGAATTACTCCCATTATTACACTTCTTTTTTCATTATGGTTTGCCCCAAGAACACATTAATATGCAAATTAGATGCTCAGACGCTATTTTACATTACCGCCACCCTGCGTCTGGGAGACTTTCATCATTTGCTTTCATAATTTGGAGGAAATTGTATTACTCTATCTTATTATTATTTGCTTTGTTTTCTGTGCTCTACTATAGAATGCTTAATCAATATGCTTGAGTTTTTGATGAGCTGAGAGATAACAGGACATCTATTTAATGTGTGTATGGTCCTGTGGCTCAGTGGTAGAGCATTGCATTAGCAGCACATAAGGCCGAGGGTTCGATTCCTGAATGCATTGTAAGTCGCTTTGGATATAAGCGTCTGCTAAATGCATTAAATATTATGTGCAAGACACGTGTGAGATGAGAAATGCTATTTTATACATAGCTTCTATGACAATAATTTGCATTAAATACTTAGAAACACATGTAGGGGACATCGTTGGATATCTTAAATGGACACATATCTTGAGTGTGCATTATGATTGGATGAATGTCGCACTCTGCAGCAAACCTGTAAGACTGTTGACCTTTCATGCAACAAATAAAGATTCAAAAGACTTTCTGCCTCTTGCCGTTTTGAAATAGAAAATTGCCGCAACACATAATAAAAATAATTTCGACATGCTTTAGATTTGAACATTGTTCTCTCTGGATCGCTGTTATCTTCTCTGACTGATACAACTAGTCCGAGAGGGCAAACTCCAATTCCTATCCTTTTATAAATTAATAATTAACAAAAATATAATATATAGTAGAATAGTATTATATCCTCCTGGGACCCAGGCAGACTTTTGTCCTCTTTAGAGGACATTATATTTTAGTGAATTTCTAGTGAAATATTTCATATTTTAGCGAAAGCCCTTCATTCAGGGCTTTTTAGAGATCATAAGCATCATCATAGAGATCATCATAAATCTCCTTGGTCTTTAAATATGACTGATATTGACAGAATGACCAAATGTAGCACTCTTAGGGTAATTATCATTTAAATCTGGCTATTTTTCAAATTGTCCCAAATAAACACCTCAGAAAAATGTGATGGGGTTTCAAAGCGCAATATGACTTTTTGTTGCAAAATGGCATAATTTGCATGCATGTCTACTGAAGAGGACACCATGTTAATCACAAGTTAATAGGGAAAGAAATTATAGATCAATATTCATGAAATATGAGATATTCTTATGAAAATGTTGCCAAGGAATTACTCCCATTATTACACTTCTTTTTTCATTATGGTTTGCCCCAAGAACACATTAATATGCAAATTAGATGCAATGTATGGATACATTGTATAGAATGTGAATACCAATTTATGGACATTTTTACACACATATTCCATAAAGTACAAAATTATATCAAATCATTCTGTTATATCTTTCATAACATAGTTGAGAATCATCTTTGTACAAAGTTTGGCTAAAAATAGCCTGAAACCTAAAAACTGACTGGTGAATGATAATTAAAAAAAACATTGTTTTTGCATATACATGCCTTTTTAATGTCTTTTGTTGTTGTTGTTGTTGTTGAGTAACTTAGTCCTGGCATCCTCTACAAAGGACATAAAATAAAATATGAATAAAATATATATTTTTAAAAATGTTTTTCTCAATTTGTTTCTTATGCTCCACCCAATGTAATGACAAAAAAAAAAAAAAAAAAAAAAAAATCACAAAATTTTTCTCAGGAGGATAGTATTATAAATATAAATGTTAAAGAAAGAAATACATTTTTTATACTATTTTTTAAATATACTATTTTTATTATAAATATACCTATTAATATAGATTTGATATTCTCTCTTAAAAAGGTACAATCTGATACCAAACTGTACAATCTATAAAATATGCAAACTTATTGATTAGACCCATCGCACCTGGCCAATTAGAGATGACCTCTGGGCCTCTAAGCCCCGCCCACTTCAGAATCCTTGTTTCATATTAATCAGCTATGTCTGCTCGCTTTCTGATTGGAGGACGCTTAGGAGTAGGCGTGCCCTTTGCAAGATCCTAAAACGTGATTGGCTCGCGTCTGAGATGGACGCGTCGCGTTCGGTTCTCCGTTCATTCCACTAAAACCGTTAACTAACGGCGGTCCTCAGCGCGTTTAAATAAACAGACGCAGTTCGTCGTTTTCCATCATAGGAGCTCAAGCCGGCAGGATGGCAGGCGGCGGCGGCGGTTGCGTGACGCTCCGCGGCGCTCAGATCCGGGACCTGCTGGACGCCAAACACAACGTGCTGTTCGACTGCGACGGCGTCGTCTGGAACGGAGAAACGGCCGTTACCGGAGCTCCGGAGGTGGTCAGTCTGCTCAAGCAGCGCGGCAAACGCGTGTTCTTCGTTACCAACAACTGCACCAGGCCGCGGGAGAACTACGTGCAGAAGTTCAGCCGCCTCGGCTTCGCGGACGTCGCGGAGGAGGAGATCTTCAGCTCGGCGTACTGCTCCGCCGCGTACCTGCGCGATGTGGCGCGGCTGCAGGGGAAGGTGTACGTGATCGGCTGCGGCGGGGTGATGAAGGAGCTGCGGGACGCCGGGGTGCCGGTGGCGGAGGAGGGGGACGCGGAGCCGGGCGCCAGCATCTACACCTGCCCGCTGGACCCGGATGTGAAGGCGGTGCTGGTGGGATACGACGAGAACTTCACCTTCATGAAGCTCGCCAAAGCCTGCTGCTACCTGCAGAGCTCCGAGTGCCTGTTCCTGGCCACTGACCCGGACCCCTGGCACCCGCTGAGAGGAGGCAGGGTCACCCCAGGTAGGGCTGCCGACTCTCTATCAGCTCCTCTGAAGCTTTGTGAGATGCATCTTCTTATTAAACTCACAAGTAAAGAATGTGCACGTGTCCGGGTCACATTTCACCTCAAAACCAAAAGTGAGAAACATAAACGAGGCTGATATGGAGTGGTACAGCTTGCGATTTAAACTGAAGATGTGTTGTGATGCTATGGTTTGCTCCCAGATGAGAGTTTTGGGTGTAATCGTGCAAATGCAGATCAGTTCCTCAAGTTCTGGAAAACCTTACAAATGTGAAAAAAAGCTGTTCTGAAGCATTACATCTGTTTTCTCGTTCATTAAAATCAGCAGCATAAATTTAAAGACATTTTTTAAAATGTGCATTAAAGTACACTATGCATATTTCTTAAAGCAAAATAAAACCTTACAAATATCAGTCAAGATTTGTTTGTTTTTTTGGGAAAGAAAATAAAGCCTATTTTAAGGTTTTTACGACTTTCCACTTTCTGACATTATTTTAATGTCATTTCAACACTTTCTCCACCAACTCATTGAGTTGAGTATAAATAAATAAAAGATTTATAATAAAATATTTTTATGCAACCTTGTAACACTAATGAGTCACATGACACCGGGGAGAGAAAATGGCTAATTGGGCCCAATTTGGACATTTTCACTTAGGGGTGTACTCACTTTTGTGGCCAGCAGTTTAGACATTAATGGCTGTGTGTTGAGTTATTTTGAGGGGACAGCAAATTTACGCTGTTATACAAGCTGTACACTCACTACTTTACATTGTAGCAAAGTGTCATTTCTTCAGTGTTGTCACATGAAAAGTTATAATAAAATATTTACAAAAATGTGAGGGGTGTACTCACTTCTGTGAGATACTGTATGTGTATATGTATAATTTATTTTATTTATTTATTTTTTTTAAATTAAAATCATCAAAGACTTTTTTTAAAATGACAATAATGAGAGTTTTGGGTGTAAATGTGCTTAATACTATTTTAGGACTATTACAATTTTTCTGCGTTCTTAAATCATTTTCATGGCAATTACACGGTCTCCACCAAAACTCATAACTGTAATGCAGTAACTTTTTTTTTTCTCATTAAAATCAGCATCAATTAAATCTTTTTTTTTAATTACACTAATGTAAAATACACGATGCAAACAATTTCTTCAAGCAAAACATTTGGTTCCCACAGTCCTGGAAACGTACATCTGTTCTAGTATCATAACAAACTACTAGAAAAGGTTATAGAAAAAAACTGGGAAATTTAAAGCGTTTAAACCTAAAAATTAATTTTTGATTTTGATGTGAAATGTGACGTGGACTTGTTTTTCAAGAGGTTTCATTCCATCTAAAGTCTATCAAATGTGAAGCGTAGGGCTGCACGATAAATCGAAATGGAATCGAGATGGCGATTCGACAGAAGCTGCGATTGTCATGAGTATCTTTCAGTGAAGCACGGTTCTGTGATCAGCAGTAAATCTCCATCCAAAGGCCAGAGAAACTCCAAATACGCCTCGCAGAAGAAATAAACAGAAGATTCAACTGCTTTCATTGATTCAGCGTGACTAATAAACACACCACTACGGCAATA